AGAACAGTAGAATAATACAGTACAAATAGAAGGATCTGTATATATTAACAACATCTCAGCAGTTTTCGTGCAGTGCCATTAGTTATTCAGGCAGCCAGTGTTTCATACTGAATCGCTGGTTGTTAGAGGGGTTGTTACTCCGTGATAGAGTGCAGCATGTTACATGAAGAGAGATCAGCAACACTGGTTACTTGGTAATTCAGTAGAGTCTGGGGGAGTAGTGTCACATACAGAATCAGGAGGGTTATGAGCCCAAAATTAGAGCTTCAGAAAGGCTCTTATAAGATCTATGTGTTTTCAAAGCAACATTCTTGAGGATAGACAACTTCATACTGCATTTTACAAATATGAGCTAAAAGAGAGAACTTTTTTTTTGACCATGCTCTGAGGTTACAAAAGGGCATGATGTGAGAGCAAACTATTACTGCACATTAACCTCAGCTTTTCTTCCCCATGTGAATGCACTAATACCTTTCCCTCCCCTCTCTTTTCAGCTTCCTTTGGAAACTTCTCTTAGCTCATCCCTGGCAGTGCTCTCCCTCATCCCCTGTGACAATACGCCTCTAGGAACCATGGAAGAACTGCTGTCTTAAGATATGTGAGCAAAGAACCAATGAGGGGAGAGGGTGAGCCTGTAGACTACATGCCAGCCATTCTGGAGGATTCTCATTCAACAAGGCCAATCAGGTCTGCAGACATTGAGCCAGAGACAAAGCCCCACTCAAGGCAGGGGAACCCACTGTAACATAGGGATAAGATGTAAGATTCACAACCCTAGTGATGATGTAGGCCTGTCACTGGTATGTGCTTGATCACAACAAATCTCCTTTTGGTTTTCTGCCTCATTCAGACTGGACTGACTTTAGATGTGCACAAGCAGGCTTTACAGTTAAGGTCATTACATCATTCATTCTTTGGTATGGTTATTTATCAGCTAAAATTCTGAACCCACTGATGCTGAAAACTGGCTTGATCTGTGTTATCACCAGATTTCCATGCAGTGCCACCATTTGGCCTCGATCTCCATCTTCCTTTAAAACTACAACACCAACCTTTTCAGAAGGAATTAGCTGGTCTTAAATGCATTTCAATGATGCCATCACAAAGTATTACTCACCCGTAGGTCACAGTGCATTTTCCTCTCAGGACTTTAGTTTTGGAATTGCAGATTTGGAGGATCGACAATAGCGCTTTAAGCTGAATGTCATACACAATCAGTCTTTTTGTATTGTGACTGATCTGCAGTGTGTCAGTGAGAAATTAGAAACATGTATACAGTACGAGCATTTTAGAACAACCCAGTTTAATCTGTGTATACTGTAACAGTGTCTTAGTTTTGTATTAATGGAGTGGATCAGAGGCCAGAAGGGTAATGTGATGATTATGCTTGATAAAGCAATAATTGCAACTGTAGCAGGTGAACACATTGTTGAAATAATTGTCTGGAAGTAAAGTTGTTGTTTTTTTTTAACAGAGTTGGGATGATGAACCATGAGTGTCTCCTGAGAGAAATGCATTTATTGCCTGATACAGTGGCAGCATTTGTGTGCATTGTGTATTGTATGTCATCTCTCACACAGAGATATGAAGAAAAGGACATGCCTCTGTTATACTTGACACACTTTGATGTGACACTGATTTCAAATGACCAGAAATCAAGATAATATGACAGCTACATGCATGATTCCCAGTGTGACTGAATCAATCACTTCTGGTGCCACTCTAGACAGCAGCAGACATGACAGCATTTAAATCACATAAATACATAGAGTACTGTGCAAATGTCTTAGACCACTATTTGATTTGTTATTTATCAATCCTTTTATCAGAATACAACCAGAAAATATAGGCAAATATGTACACAGTATTGTTCGGGTTGCATCAGGAAGGGCATCCGGCATAAAACACGTGCCAAATGTCAACATGCGAGTCGTCAGTGTGACAATTCGCTGTGGCGACCCCTAAACGGGAAAAGCCGAAAGTGACTTTCTTTCTTTCTATTAACAAACACAAAAATGTCAGAAGAAAATACTAACAAATTGGATACTCAAGATGTGGTATTCAAGTTGTTCTAAAGAAATATGAAGAATCCAGGGAATTCAAGGACAAAAATAGGACTAAATAAACAGGAAAACTGTCAAAATATGATGAGAGGTTTCTCTCTTTCTTCTTTGAAAGACCAGAAGAAATCCAGCAAGGACCTGGCTCAGCACCTGGCAGCTTCATCTGGAGGCCAAACTGATCCTTCCACAGTCTGAATAAGCTTGATTGGGAACAGCATTTGTGGAATGACACCAGCCAAGAAAACACCTTTTTCAGAAGGGGGGCAGGTAGAAAATGGCAAAAGCTCATAAAGATTGGAGACTAGATCAGTGGAAAAGAGTCTTATGGTGTGATGAATTGAAGTCTGAAATTCTCTGATCCACTTGTCGACAGTATGTGAGAAGAAAAAAAGTTGGCAAGAGATAGAAGAATGAGTGGTGCAGCCTTCAGTGAAACATGGTGGGTCTGTCATGTTTTCAAGACTTCAACACAGTCTCCCCAAAAGAATTCAAGCTGTGCTAAGTGCAAAGGGGGTGGGGTGGGGGTGTTACACTAAATACTGACTTTGGATTGTAGAAGCTATTTGGTTCTGAAAATGTCTTTTTTTTTATATTTGATACATATTTCATGAGAAAATAAAGATAAATTGTCATTACAACCTTGCTAAAACAGCTAAACTAATGGTAGCCTAAGACTTTTGCACAGTACTCTACATACATGAACAAATAAACTTCCAACAAACAAAATTGCCCTTTCAAACATATTTTTCTCTGTCCTTTGACATAGAATCATTTGGTGATTAAATAATGAACTGACTGTTAAGAGGAGGAGAACACACTGTATGATTTTAGGATTAGCTGTAAATACTGACACTTTCGGTTTATTTTGTCAGAAGATTTATGAAGTGTTGAAATGCAAAAAACAGAAACATGGGAAATATTTAGCTGCTTTACATACAGTATGTGCAGACATATGATATGTTGTATGATGAAAAGTCTTTCTAGAATAAACTAATTGAGATGTAGCATTAGTCCTGATCTTCATGTTGTATCACTATGTTTTGCTGTTGTTGTTGTTGTTTGTTTAGTTGATACAGTCACGTCAGCAGACACTGAAACACAGGGGCACAGTTGATATAAAAGTAATACCGAAGCAACCAAAAACCTTTTTTTATCACAAGTAAGTATAAGTCAATGAAGATAAAAACAAAGTTCTGAAGGGAAAAATAACCAGACAAAGTCATCTCCTTATCTCTGCCCAACTTAAGGTAGGTCACCAAACATTAGCTCTGAGGTGCCCAAGTGTTTTCCCCATACACACATTTCAAGTTTTTAAAAGTTTTTCCAAATGTATGACAGAAATCCTGTCGTTGTAACCGCTGTTTTCCAGTCTCTGAGAATCAGTTTTTGGCTAGCATGTTCCCACTGCCAAGTTTCCTCAGGGCATCAAAATATAGCCAAGTCTCTGTGGGGGAGAAGGTTTGTTTGTTTATGTACTTTGGAAATTTGAAACTCAATCAAAATGAATCTGAGTAATTCCAAAAAAAAAAGTTCCATCTTTAGTTTTGAGACACCAAGTGAGCAAATTTATGTAAAAAGGTTTTTGAATAATGGAGCCTATATGTAACTTTAAACTGTTTTCACTTGTGTTCTGGGATGTGTGAATTACTACTAGTGTATTTATTGAGCACACAAACATAATAAGATCACTCTTCTCCATGTGTTTTGTTTCTCTCTTACACAAACTGTTACACAAACATGCACACACGCAGAAACCCAGCTGCTTTGATTTAAGTGGTTCACCTCAGTGGCCCTTTCCTCAAATCCCATAAGTGCTCCCAGATACCCCATTCTGATCATAACCAAGAAATGCTGCACAGCTCTTGTGGATACTAGTTTCTCTTTATCACTCTCTCTATTGTTTTTTTCTTTTTACCACTTTGCTTTTTTTGCTCCTTCCTCCCTCTCGCTGTCTTCCTTCTTTACCTTCTTTTTCTTCATGAATTCATTCATTTATTCATACAGTATTACTTTAAATAGCTAATGTTTATGTACATATTTCTAGATTTTAAGAATGTCCTGACAATACTGTTTATCAGAAACTTAATATACAAGTCAAAATTACAGTTATTAATATTTGTTACAGGGAAGAATGTCGCACCTGCGCTCTGACTTGTCAACCAAGGTCCATGAGTCACGACTCTTCTAACTTCATGAATGCAAAGCAGTAGTGCCTACCTAAAGAGACACAGTCTGTCTCCTGCACACATGCAAACACAAGGGCATCTAATTACTGAGAGACATGAAGCATCTCACCTGTTTATAACAAGGCACATGTATGATAAAAAGATTCAGTGAACAGTGGCCTTCTCAACCCTGACAGCGAAGAAATCCATAGAGCAGATGGTTCGATAGTGCAGTTAATTGGGTACTGTTTACTGTCACGTGTCTTATCTTTCTCTCTGGACATTTTCAAGTGTACAATTCACTTTTGAAAGCTTGTCTTTCATCATTATCTTCAAAAACACCCAAATGCTGGGACTCTCCATCCAACTAGTTCATCATTATCTGCTTGTGGCTTTGATCAGCTGGATTTCAATCCTCTAACAGTACTGAAACTGAATCAGAAACACTGTTCTCTTCCATCAACTCTTGTTAAGAAGCCCTTTAGCAGCTGCTCTAGTGGAGAGGCTCTATGGCATAAACAGCTGAAGACTGTACTGGGTTTTTTTTTTGCCATCACCCAATTGTTAATCTTCCATAGGCTATTCCACTACAAAGCATGATGAAAAAAGTGTGCATCAACATTCACCTGTAAGGTCAACAGATAAATAACACTATCAGCTGCTGGATGGACTCTTTCATGGGCCTTTTAGGGCACAGACCACTCCACCTGGCCAGTTTTAAAAACCATTAAGTAGCCTTTTGCACATTCAGCAGAGGAGGAGGGGGATATAAGTCATTGCCATGGTAACTATTCATTAGCAGCCATTAAAGAGAGTAGGAAGCAGATTCAGATGTATCAGTGAGACATACTGTGTAAGAGAATAACAGCTGTCAGTCAGATGAGGAAGAAACATCCCTCAGGCTCAGTCTGTCAGGAACCAACTAAGCATCTCCTCATGTCTAGAGACGTGTTTGTACTGACACATGACAGTGCCATGAAAACCAACCACACATTTAAAAGTGATGATGATGATGCTACAGGAGCCCATACTTCCAGCTGGTTTAAGAGCTGCTCCTGACAAATCACAGAACAGTACTGCCCTCTGATGGAAGAATAATGCAGACAACATAAAAATCCATTTAGAAACCTTTTCTTGTGTCTGTTGCAGCCATAAAATTAGGCATAAACTTGTGGCTATGTAGTCTAATATGGCTATAAAATAAGTATTTCTGGTATGACACATTTTTATTAAACATAAAAATCTGCAATAACACATGCCTGTGACATTTGGGGTCTGTATTTAAAAAGTGAATGCTACCTACAGTCCATTACTTTTACTGTGACTTAAAAAAAAACAACTTCTCTGTTAATTTAGTACAAATGAATATAAAAAAATATGTTCATGTCTTTATGTTATGATGTTTCAGTGAATCTTGTAATTCCCCTCATTAAACATAAAAGATATTAGAAAAAACATAATAGATTTCAATTTATTTAAACACCTTTGTGGGCTGATACATCACAGTACACTCGGTGGATAAATGAGGTTCTCCTGCCCTCCACTGGTAAACGCTAAAAACTGCTTTTGCACATACATTACATCATGGTTTCAGATGAGTTCTACTAATAGCAAGTATTAGGTCACGATGACTGGCACCAATCGACGACTCAGACAGGATCCTGTTTTAGTGGAACTGAGTGAGGTGGCAGTGATGCCATGAATTACTCATTTATTAAGCTGTGATACAGACAGATGTGGCTTCACACTATATATAAAAAATGTGATTGTTACCTGAGTTAAGTTTACACAATTCTTAGTGTTCAGCTACAGCAATTTAAAATCCAATAGTGTAGCCTATTAACCGTAGGCCCATGTTTTGTTTAGTTTAGATGAACACCAAAAGAATTACAGGCTATGTCTTAATATTGACCTTGGATTTTGGCATCGCGTGGCAGTTTATAATAAAAGCTTGGTTTTTTATTTGTATAATGCAGAACAAATTCATTATATACAACTGTTATGCAGAACTTGCCTTTGACAAGTTTTGCAAATATTAGGCACATTTGCTATTCCAGTGATTTTTGAAGAGAGAGATATGCAGTGACTGACAATAACACCGGCCTACAGTAAGGCAATGCCAAATAGAATAGCCTACCACAGCCGGGACTATAATCATATTCCCTGTCTGGAGCTGTTAATGTGCGCCAGGCTGGAGGACGCATTAATAGGCTACAAGATGTAGCAGCAGCCAGATTAAAATACTTGGCGAAGGCTGATTTAAGGAATTTAAGCCCTGA